CCTCTTGCTGTTGGGGAGAGGCATCTGATCCCTGTCTGTCCTCTGGTTTCTCCCTAGACCTAGTTCTACTGAGGACCCTGTCTGGTGTGTACTGAATGTGGCTGGTGAAATTCATGGCCTCTTCTCAGTAGAGCTGAATCTTGGTGATCTTCCCTCACTGACTGTGGGTACAAATGCTTTGAGATGCAGCCTCCATCTCACCCTGGATAGACTATCTCAAAGCCTATGGGATCACCTGGATTGTAACTTTGAAGACTCCAGAGCAGGTTCTCGGTTCTCCATGCATCTCCCCTCCGTTGATCCCACTGTGGGGATAAGGGAAGCACTACCCTTGACCCTTTGCCTAGACATCATTTTTAACCCTTTCTAACTTAACACTTGGCAATAGCTATGATGTTACTCTAGCTCCACAATGAATCTGGAGGCTTTGTAAAGGGACTTCTAATTTTCCTGGGCAAGCCAAGCCCTCCTGCACTGAGACTTTTCCAAACCTCAGAGATATTTCTCACCTCCTGAATATCTCTTTGCCCATAGATCTTACCCTACTGGGCCAAGGAGACCAGAACTAACTAACTGTGTCTCTCTCTTTCTCTGTCTGTCACCCTCTCCCATTCCTGGGTCCTTTTCTTCCTGGATTTTTCTCTCTACCATACAAGGGGAGACATCCTTAACTCATATATGATCTCGAGTCCAACAGGTTTGCCTCGATATACACGTAAGAAGGAAATTTTGGTATTTAATAAAACTCCTTTTTTTCCCTCAACAAGAAACTTTTGTTTTGCCAAGACTCAAAAAAGTCAATATTGAGATTTAAAACTGAACAATGATGTCCTTGTTCTAGGCTCTACCCACCCTGCACGTGTCTAAATGCTGCCCTAATAGAACTTTCTGCGATGATGGAAATGTTCTATCTGTGCTGTCCAACACTGCAGTCACTAGTCACAGGTAGCTAGTGAGCACTTGAAATATGGGTAGTGTGACTGAGGATTGAATTTTAATCATATTTCACTCTAATTAATTTAAATCATAACATGTGGCTATAGTGGACAGTGCAGAGGAACAATAAACTTCAAGGCACAGGCCCAGGGGACAGAAAGAATACAGTGAAAGAAGCTTACTTGGAAGGTTCTTCAAAAATACTGTCCCCATCACAGTAATGTGTCACTTTGTTAAAAATCTAGTACTTTTTGATGTCAAGCATGGTATACAATGATATGGCCTATTTCTGTTTCTTCTAGAATCTGTAGATTTTATTCAAAGGATACTGACCTTTTATTTTAAACAAGAAAAAAATTTTATTGGACAACATAAAATTACAGGCAACGTATTTTATAACATTTGGTGTAGGGACCAATGTCTAGTAAAAGATGGAATGAAATTTTAATTTCTACGAAGTCATCAAAAAGAGTGAGGCAGGTGAGGCACTCACGGGGACGTGCACACACAGGGCTGGCCCATGCAGGAACCCGCAGTGAGTGCTTCTCGTCTTAGCCTGGTCCTGACCCTTTTAGACAAAAATCTGCATTTGTGGCCTAGTATTTGGAATTATCTAATTGAATATTTACAAAACTTATTTTTATGAAACATATATTTTTAATCTACTATGTTGTGATCTAATTACGCTTAATATAATGTACCCATTGGAAATGTTCGTTGAATTTAACAATGTAACCAGTACCACAATCAAGAAACAGACATCTCCACCACCCCAAAAAGCTCCTGTGCACTCCCTTGCTACTGCCTGCCCTAGGAAACTGCTGCTCTGCTTTCTGTCATTACAGTTTGTATCTGACTTTTCACAATTTTATATAAATGGAAACACACAGTATTTGTTTTTAACTAACAAGATAAGTAAGGCAGCACTTCTCTAAAAATATCATATAACAGATGGGTTATCTTTAGTTTCAATAAGTAAAAAAGCTGAACTGGAGATATATATATATGTATATATATATATATATTTTTTTTTTCATATAACAGATGGGTTATCTTTAGTTTCAATAAGTAAAAAAGCTGAACTGGAGATATATATGTATATATATATTTTTTTTTTTTTTTTTA